GTAAATAGATCACCACAGTACGCTGCTGGTAGCATAACAGTCTAGCACAGGATAAATCAGTTACTGGTTTGTGTATCCCCTTGATGATACTTTTTATCATTATTTTATTTTATTTTTTGGAGCCGGGGATTGAATTCGGGTCCTTGCGCTTGCGCAGCAGGCGGGCGAAACCACTGAGCTAAATCCCTGGCCCTTATCATTATTTTAGAGGCACTCCTTCTACTTATAGAATTTTAAAAGTTCACTAAAAACTAGCCTCAGGCAGGTCCTCAGGAGGAATTCCGAAGGCATTCCTGTCATGGGAGGTGACAGTTCCCAGCCTGTCACCACCCTGAAGGGCTCTTTCAGGGGGACAAGATGAGAACAGAAATATCAATGATCCTTAGCAGGATGTTGTGGCACACACCTGCAATCCCAGCACTTGGGAGGCTGAGGCAGGATGATTGCCAGGCATTTGAGGCCAGCCTGGACTACATAGTGAGGCCAAGGGAAGCCTGAACTACACAATGAGACCCTGTCTAAAAAAAGACAGAGAGAGAGAGAGAGGAAAGAAATATGCATGATTCTGACCCTCTGTATGCCTAAGCTCCTGTGTATGTTTGTGTCTCTATTTGTAACAAAAAGTTCAAAAGGGAAAATAAAACATTTTAGAAATAGGAAAAAGCAAAAGAAAAGGAAACTGTTATATTTGGTGCTTGTAAAAATATTTTGAATTAGTGTGCATAGAAGTTATTGCCATTTCTTTATTCAATTTAAAAGTTACATGTAAAATAAATAACAATTTTTTAATTTTGAAAAAACAAAGAATAGGAAAAAGCCAGTGCCCATACAGAGATCACTTCCACTTGTCCCCACAGAAGTAAAGGAAGTGATTTTGCACGCTAAGCGCTATTACAAGAAAGGCAACAAGTGCTTTAAAATTGAAGGTTTATAAAGCTAAAATGTTACGGCTCACTTGTTACTGAAGGAAGAAAGCGTCTTTTTGTAAATGCAGTCCAGCCCAGTGTACTATGTTTGTAATGAAGTCTGTGGTCACGCAGTGTCCGTGGCCGTCGCATTCACGGCCCACTCACACCGACAGCAACTTCCAACCCTGCTGGCTGCGCACATGGTATGCACCCCGCACAGGTGCGTCATTTTTTCCCTTTTATGTCTCATTCTTGCTGTGCCTTCTTATGTTTAGATACGAGTAGACACACAGACACCACCCATCGTGCTGCCTTGGCCTACAGGATTGAGCTAGGAAACAGGCTGCGCAGACAGGTCCACAGCCTGGGAGCTGCGGAGGACACCAGGGAGGCCCAAGGTGTAGTCAGCTGTCACTTGTAGGTGTGTGCGTGTGCACTGTGACATTTGCACAGCGACGTTCTTCACAGTGTAGTTCTCAGCGCGTGTTCTGTGATGACGAGGCACCTGGCCCAACTGAGGTGGCAGCTGCTCTGATCCTGGAGCAGACTGACAGGCACAGAGCCCTCTCTGGGCTGTCGGAGCTGAGCTGAGACAGGAGCCCGCAGCAGCCTCCCCCAGACCCCCTCTTGCCCCGTCCTGGGTCATCTTGGCCTCTCCCATGACCTCTCCTGCCTCACTACCTGGTGTGGTTTGTCTCCCCATGGGGACAGCGTGAGGTGGCCAGAAGTTATGACATCAAGGTAGACTGAGAGGTTCTACCCCATGTTTAGGGCAGTGACAATCAACTCAGTTTCTGGTAGCAGGTGATAGGATAATTGGCAAGAATTGGGAGGATGAGAGGGCAGCAGCCTTGGAGCTCCCAGCAGCCTCCTCCCAGCTCCTCTCTCCTTGCAGTAAAAGCAGAAGCATCTGAGTTCTTGGCCCTGGGCCTCAGATCTGCAGAGTGATCAGATGAAAGCCCAGGGCCAGGGGACTGTGTACAGCTACACCAGATGCTTCCAGACGGCCCAAACTCATTTACTCTCCTGTCCTCCCAAGATTACCCCAATCTGTTTTTCAGTAATAATAAGGAGTTCAAATTCAGCTCTTATCCCAGAGATTTTTGCTCACTATGAACTCCAGTATTTTCTCTGAGCTCCTACCCCATATATATAAAGTAGTATCTGTCTGCTGGAGCTGTGTAACAAGCATGTCCTCTAAATGGAACATTCTTTCCCTTAGGAGCAGCATTATCAGAGGCACTAAATAGGCCCTGGTCCTAAGTCATTGAGTAACCAAGACCCTTGAAATGTCAAAAAGCAGAGATCCAACCAGATACCTCTGTAATCATGAAAAGAGTGTGTGTGTGTGTGTGTGTGTGTGTGTGTGTGTGTAGGATCAAATCAAATGCAGGGCCTAGTTGTGCTAGCCACTCCCAAACCTGCATTTTAAAGATGAAATTTAAATTTATACCACATTCTATAAAAGAGAGACAAACTTAATACCATAAGTATTCACTCCAGAGGGGGCAACAAAAATTAAAATCACATCTACAGTTTGACCTATGCTAAAGTTGTGTATAATCCTTAAAATTAAGTGTGTGTCATTAGGTATTAGTAAGTGCTTGGTGACGTATGGGTTTTGTCTTCAGTCTCCACAGCAACTGTGTTGTATGAGGGTCCCTGTCGTTCAGAGAGAGACTGATACTCAGAGAGGCTAAGTAACTTGGCCAAAGTCCCACAGCCATACAGTCAGAGCCTGGATCTGAGTGGAGTGTGTGAGGCCACAGAGCCCTTGCTTTTGTGGCCACTGCATCTCCCCTGTGCACAGGGACAGTGGGTCTTGTGGCTTTTATTAGCCGCCCTTCTCAGCTGCCTCCCCAACAAGATGCCAGCTCTCAGAGACCACAGATGGCCCCCTGGGCATGGCAGGGCCACGACATATTCTGGGGGATTGAATGTAACTCGGTTAAGCAAGGCTCTGAGTGGGACACTCAGGAAAGAGACAGTCCCGGGCCACTCCATCTCCCCACCCCTTCCTTCCAGAGACCCGTCTTGAGTTTCCTGCTGAGTTCAAGTCCCTTTGGGCAGAGCCAAGTGCTCCTCCCACATCTCAGCCACTCTTTGTTTGCAGGAAATCCCCAAAGGGCTGGAGTCCCTTTCTTGTTGACCTAGGACCACTTTGAGCTCCAGCTCCCCCCTGAGCTCAGGCCGCGCCTGGTGTTGACTGGTTTGCTGCAGCTGAGACTGAGCAGCGCGGTGTCCTTCCAACCCAGGATAAAAGAGTGATGGAAAAACAGAGAAATGTGGGGGGTCAGTTGGAGGAAGTTTGTGCTGGTGTGTGGCTGAGAAAACTGAGCCATAGGAAGGGGAGGGCTTGGTATCAAGTGGGGAAACGGCAGACTATCTTGCTGTCTTTGGGACGTTTGTCCATCCGGGTCCCCCACACCCTGCCTGGGACCCTCTGTCTGACATTGGCAGTGAAAGCAGCTCTTTGGGCTCCCTCCCTTGGCTCTTTGCTCCCTGACACTTAAGTCCAGGCCAGTGGCTGGAGTCTGGGTGCCACCCGACTGACCTGCCGTCTACACTGCTGTCACCTCAAGAAATCAGCTCGTGTGACTCTGACGCCAAGTTTGGTTTGACCCACAGGCTCTACAAGGACCATAGCTTTCCATTATTGACTTTCTAGACTAAGAGCCTCAGCAAGGTTAAGTGGCTCGCACAGAGTCACTCGGGCTGAGGTCGCTCCACCACCCCGAGTGTCCCTGCCTCAGAGGGTGACCGAGGGATGACTCTGTGAGCTGGGCTGCTCAGGAATGCAGTTATTCTGGGCATCTTTAGGCCTCTGTGATGAGGTGTGGCGAGTGGCCTCTGGCTTCTTCTGCCGCTTGCCAGCCAGGCCGATCCCCTGCGGCTTCCCCCCCACATTGGTCACCCCTCTGTCTTCCCACCCCTCCCACACCCTCAACCCAGCTTTCAGACGTATTCAGCCCCCTTCTTCTAACCATACCCCCTCTTGGGCCCTCCCCTCCTTACACGGGTATCTGTGGTCTCTGGGAGCTGGTGGTTGGTCGGGGAGGCAGCGAGAAGGGTGCCTAATAAAGCACAGGACCCGCTCAGGGGCAGGCAGGGCTGGCCATAAACAGCAGCCGATGCCGAGGAGTGCAAATCCAGACTGTGGCAAGACGGCTTGGACCAATCAGGTGGACAAAAGTCAGCCTGCCAGGCGGTGCTCTGTCGGCGGGCTATAGTACTGCCCCTAAAATCAGCTTCATAACAGGTGTTGGCGTAGAGGCACTGATAAAAACCAGGGGGACTGTTGTGAGGATGTTCATCAGCGAATGTGTTATGTGTTTGGGTTCGTTGTTGTTATTGCAGTGCTATAAGAATTGGACCTAGGGCCCTCACACTGACCTATATGCCCAGCCCTGTTTTTATTTTATATCTTGAGACAGGGACTTGGTAAGTTGCTAAATTGCCCACAGGGTATAGAACTTTCGATCCTCCTGCCTCAGCCTCCCAGACAGCTGGGATTACAGGCATGTGCCACTGCGCCTGGCTAATAGAGGTTGACTATGTTCCCTTGAGACAATCACACAACAGATGTCTCTCTGGCCAAATTAGATCTACACGTAGTGGTGTGGAAAGATATCTGCTGTCTGAAGATACGTGAAAAAAGCAAGGTGAAGAACATATGTAACTGTATCATTTTTGAGTAGAAAACAGTGTGTATGGTGCGGTATGTGCTGCGGTATGTGGTGTATGGTATGTGTATGTGGGCTGTGGTGTTTCTGTGTGTTGTGGTATGTGTCTGCAGTGTGGGGTGTATGAAGTGTGTGGTGTGTGGTACATATATGTGTGGTGTGGTGTGTGTGTGATATTTGGTGTGTGTGGTGTGGTGTATATGGTAAATGGTGTGTGTGTGTGTGTGTGTGTGTGTGGTGGGAGGTATGTATATAGTGTGTGTATGTGTGGTATATGGTGTGTGTATAATGTGCGACGTGTGTGTGTAATGAGTGTGTGGTGGGGCGGGGTGTAGTGCAAAGTGTATGTTGTGTGAGTGAGTGTGTGTGTACATGTGTCCAATCCAGGCCTTTGTCTTCCCATCTCCAGGGTCACCTTCCAGTCGTGCATTTCGGGGAGGAAAGGCACATGTGTCTTGCTGGTGACTGCCAAGTCGCGGCCCCAGCGGCTCATCCCACTCCACCCCTGCCATTGCCAGGCCAGTCCTCGAGCTGAACGCTCACACAGCGCCTGTCACACAGCACCTCCTCTGTGGCTCCATGTCCCCTCCTCCAGCAGGCGGGACAGGGTGGGAACATTGGCCTCTCTGGAGGGCTGGAGCCACCAGAGGGGATTTACAGTGGGGAGACGGGGACGGGAAAACGTTTTCCACTGTCCTCTCATTACAGACATTTTTGAGTGGGCTTTTGAAACTGATTTGCAGGCACCAAGGGAGGTGCACCTCAGGGGGACCCCAGATCCTGCATTGAACCCCCTTCCCCACCCTCAAGCCTGCCAGCCAATAGGCACATGAGCTAGGTCTTAGGGAACACAAGTGTGGGACATACTTCTGTGTACAGCAGAGGGGAGGCCCCTTCTTGGTGGGGGACCTGCCATAGGACTTCCCTGGGGGCCACCGGGATCCCCAGCCTGGTCCCCAAGCCTGGGTCTGCCTTTGGCTTCCCTGAATGTGCCTGTGAGGGTGTGAACAGAGGGCAGAGGTGATGCACTGGCAGGGCATGCCACACCCTTCCCCCTGTATCGGTCACTTAGTGTGCTCTACATGTTCTTTATAGACAGTGTTGCTGTGAATATCTTCATGTGTCAGGACATTTTTCTGATAGTGAATTTTAAGAATGAAGCTATTGGATCAAAGAGCATAATATAAATGCTTCTGTGGTTTCTACTAAAGATTGCCAAATTGTGTCTGAAAGAATTCCTCTGATTTATAATATGACAAACAGCAATCGTATCTATGAGTTCCAGCATACTCTGGAGTTTAGATTTTCAAAGGGATTTTTTTGGCGTTGTTTTTAGTTTTTGGAAATAGAGTCTTGCTAAGTAGTCCAGGCTGGCCTCGAACTCACATCAGTCCTCCTGGCTCAGCCTCTTGAGTGCTGGATCATAGGCATGTGCCACCACGCTGGGCTCAGAAGGGTTGTTTTAAAGGTGTTCTAAATTCGGGTCACGTGAGTTCTGTTAAACTCTGATAAATAACATCAGTGATGATACTAACGAGAATGATAATCTCACAGGTCTTTAGAGCACTTTACAGTTTATAAGTGGTGGCAGCCATTATCTCATTTGCTGCCACCAGCAGACAGAGCAGGGCCAGACCCCCACCCAACACCTTTAGAGCTGACACAGTGGGAACTTTGAAGTAGTCTTGCCTTGAGTGACCGCAGCCCACTGAGGCAGTGTGGCCAGACAGGGGTTGCTTGGGGACTGCAGAGAAAGGGCTCCGTTTCTCTCAGGGACCGTGTGGTCCTCCTCCCTGCTGCTCCCTGCGGGTCCCATCCTTCCCTCGAAGGTCACCTTTCTGCCTGTTCCTCAGCATCCACATGACCAAAACTAGCAAGGCTGCCCGGGCTCTGCTTGTCCTATCGGCTTAGCCTGATCTCTAACCCGAGTCTCTGCACCCGAGCGAGCCCTTCCTCTCAGCATAGACAGGGGCCACCAGCCCTCTGCCGGTGGCCATTCTGGTGGGGACAGAGCGGGGGGACGAGGCTGTGGTGTGGCAAGCAGGAGCTGGGGTGGGGAGAGGAGAAGGCAGGGAGGTTCTTGGGAGCGTGTGGGTGGGAAGAAAAGACAGGCGCTTTACTCTGATGTTGCTAAAAGAGGCCCAGCAAGAGCAGCGGGCCAGGCCTGCAGACACCCCGCAGGCAACTGTCCCCAAGACCAGAGGGCTGGCCTCTGTCCCCTCTTTCCCTACCCGGGACCTCCCTCCAGGCCTCATTCACGCTCTGCCCACGGCCCTGAGCCAGGAGGCCTGGGAAGCCTGGCATCCCGGGGGGGGCCACCATTGGCACCTCAGGTCCCTGCCCACCCGGCCACCCGGCCAATGCCTGCCTCTCCCCTCTGCAGGTGCGGATCTGGGAGATCCCGGAAGGGGGGCTGAAGCGGAACATGACGGAGGCGCTGCTGCAGCTGCACGGCCACAGCCGGCGCGTGGGGCTGGTTGAGTGGCACCCCACGACCAACAACATCCTCTTCAGTGCCGGCTACGACTACAAGGTGTGTGGCCAGGCAGGGCAGGGGGGCGGGGAGGGGGAGGGGTGTTCAGAGAGCCTTTACTTAGGCTCCTCAGCCAACATGGCAACTCCACACCTCCCATTGTTGCTGGAGCCCATGGGGCCACAGGGGCTGATGGAGAATGCCTATCCCATGCTGACACCCCGGCCTGGTCACTTCATAACCAAGAGGTGGCCTCTGCCCTCCCAATAGGAAAAGCAGTCTGCTGCCATGCCAACCTGAACCCAACCGATCTTGTCTGATAGGAAAAGCAGCAGGCAAAGCTTCCTGCAGAAGAAAGAGGAGGCCACACCCCAGCCCCTGCCCTGGCCCATGGGTGCCCTCAAAAGAGCTGTGCGAGGAACCCAGGCAAGGGACATTTTCCATTCCTGCTAGTTGCAGAAAGTACATCCAGGCTGGGCCTGGGAGCTGCCCACAGGGATCAGTGGATAGTGTCACCCTACGCAGCCGCCCTTGGTGTAGAACTCAGTGACACCATGCTGCGGCCCAGCCCACCTCGGACCCCACAAGGGCGCCACTCCCAGGGTCCTGGGGTGAGGACCGAAGGTGCCTCATCTGCCCCTGCAGGTTCTCATCTGGAACCTGGACGTGGGTGAGCCGGTGAAAATGATCGACTGCCACACGGATGTCATCCTCTGCATGTCCTTCAACACGGACGGCAGCCTGCTCACCACCACGTGCAAGGACAAGAAGCTGCGTGTGATCGAGCCCCGCTCTGGCCGTGTTCTGCAGGTGGAACCCAGCATTTTTTTGAGGTGGAGAGGGAAGGTTTTGAGAGCTAGGTCCCAGCTTCCAGCCTGGCCTGGAGGAAATGACTGTGCCGGGCTCCTCTTCCCAGCCCATCTGCTCTGAGAGCCCTGCCTTGTTCTGGACAGGGACAGACCCCAGATCCTTTTGCTGTCCCCACTGCAGCCCCCTCCTGCAGATGGGCTAGATCCCTAGGTGCTAACCAAATCCCATCATGGATTCAGGACAAGGGAGCTGGGGACTCACTGCCCAGCCATGTGCCTGGGCTGAGCCTGGGGAAAATGGCTCGGGGCACTGTCCAACTTAGCTCTGTTTTTGCTCTTTGAATATTCTGTGTCTTAAATGTGAGGAAGGGGTTCAGTGTCATTGGGAGTGACTGATGACCATCTCGCAAGCACCTACAATGTGTCGGTCATGGAATGTATTAGTCAGCTTTTTGTGGCTGTGACCAAACATACACAATTTAAAGGAGGAGAGGTTTATTTTGGATCACGGTTTCAGAGGGTTCAGTCTGTGGTTGGCTGGCTCCAAGGCAGAAGGGCCTGGTTGAAGAAGGCTGCTCAACTCATGACAGCCAGGAAACAGAGAACAGGAAAAGAGCCAGAGAGGAAGGGGCCAGAGGCCATACAGAGTTCTCAAGGACACACCTCTATGACCCACCCAGATACACCCAGCAATGTGTTTTACTAATAATCCCCTGGAAATCCCTCAAGTCAATCAAGATTAACCATCACCTAGGGCTGGTAGAATGGAAAATATAGATGAAATTGCGGGTTTTCCTATAACACAAGAAAGATTGGGGCCTGATGTGGGTGTGTAATATTGTAAGGCCAGAGAGTCACCTCTTGCTACCACACATGAAATGATCATGGCAGCAGTATGAGCCAACTTCTGCCGTGTGGCATGTACTGGAAAGGGTTCTATCACTGTCTCAGGACAGCCCTCAGGGCAGGAACGGTGGCACTTCCCATTCTAAAACATGAGGACATTGAGCCTTGGAGAGGGTTACAGACTTGGATCTCCCTTGTGAAACAGATAGGGAGGGTGCTTGGGAGGAAGAGCCAACTTCCGGCTCACAGGGGAGGACGTGACTGCAGATGGGGAGGGGCATCTCCTGGGCTACACTTTTTTGCGGGGGTTGTGCAGAGTTGGGACTGAAACCCGGGCGCAGCAAAGCCGGCTGTCCCCTCAGCATCTTTTCCTGCCTGGTGCTGACTCACCTGGTGAGGGAGGAGCTCAGGTTCAGGAGCCAGTGGGCAGGGAAGGAGGCGGAGGACTGCTCAGCAGCAGCAGCATCCCGCACCCTCCTGAGCCTCAGATTGCCCGTGTTCGAAGTGGGGATCAGGAGTCCCTCCTGGGGGTTTGTGAGGAGTGAGAGACTCGTCCTGGTGGGAGTACCTGACTCACTGTGGCCCGATGGGACCTAGTGGATTAGCCCTGTCCCCTTCATGTTCCCGCCACCGTGGGAAACACCAGGGACCCAGCTTCCGCTCCCAGGGCTCTATCGCTCCTCCGCACTTGTGTTTGTTTCCTGCAGCTGCTGTAAAAGCTCACTGCGAACTGGTTGGCTGAAACCACAGGGACTCTTGTTCTTTCACAGTTCTGGAGGGAGAGGTTCCCCATCAGGGTGTCGGGGGCTGCCCTCCCTGCAGAGGCTCTAAGGAGAACCTGTCCTCGGCTCTTCCAGCTCCTCCAGCTTTCGGTGTTGTCACTCC